GATACAAGATACAGGAAAATAGATCTTGTAACCAGTGACTCCATACAATCAATAATCACTCATAACAAAACAACATATGCTTCTAAAAGATATATAGAGCAATACCTAACTTTGTAGTCAGGATGTTCACCAAGAGCCTTGAGAAGGCAAGGAGTATAAGTTTCGCAATCCAACGGGCAGCAGCAACCATTCCACAGTGTGCATATCCCAAAACCAATGCTTATTCCACCATCCTGTAAAACAGAATGGGGAAAGGGACCACTGCACCAGTTGCTGCTGTTAGTGTATCTTTGATGCTATGAGTACCACGAATCAATAGAAGGAAACATTTAGAATGTTGGTCGCGTATAATTGTGAAAGCAGGCTTCAGCAGCTGTGTCATTAAAGTATCACTTAATTGTTATTTGCAGAACAAAATGAAACAAATTTGCCAAGATAGCTTCATACATTGTTTAAGTTGCTGAAGGATGAAAATGAAAGTTTGCACTTTAACCTCCAGGAAAGAAGGTAAAACTATTGCCATATGAACTTGTGACCCCTAATTAAATCTACTGCTATATAAAGGCAAAATGTTCCATAACCCATATTTTTAGAAAGATAAATGAGTGAAATAAAAAATAAGCTCTTTTATATTACCCAAGCTCAGTCCTATTGCTGTGTTTGGTAATAGCAAATAAGAGATCAGAATAGGAATTGAGTGGAAGCAATGACAGTAACTTTCCTAAAAAAGACAACCTTCAAATCCATACAATTCCAGTTTCTGAGCTCAACTCCAAGCTACCCACTCAACCTATGAAAGAAGAGTAAATCTGACAAGAGAAATTGACTCGAAACAAAATGAAAATACAGATAGTGACCTACCGCAGCCTTAGCTTATGTACAAGGACATCTTCTTGAGAGTAACCGGCAGACTCTAAAAACACCGGAAATGGCTTTTGGAGAAAAGCATGCATAAGGTCAAAAATCTCAACATATTATTCAACTCAGCAATAATTTCGGGGCCTTTGAGTTGTACGCTGTCACTACCAGCATAAACGCTTGCAACTTGTAAATTACCCTGCAATAAATAAGACTTACTAACATCTCAGCAACATACTAACAAAAGCAAACAACAAAACATTTATCAGTCCATAATACTCTAAAAGTTCTCAAAAATTACAGCAGCAGATAAATAAAACAAGCATGAGCACCAAATTTAAGTAGCTGAAGATGGATTTCATAAAAATGGTACTTTCACAGCAAAAGAACAAAACAAACCAATTTAGCACTTCATGAGCCCAAAAGAGCATCTAATCTCTACTGAAACTATAGATCCCTGAAGTAATGTTCAAACAGTTTTCATTTAAAAATAAAAGCAAACTAACAAAAATGAGTCATACTAAAAATAAACAAAAGTTAACAAGTAAGGAAAGTCCACTCATTAATAACTAAAATACATATTAAAAAACAATTAAAAACATTGAAAAATAAATCACAATAAAAAATACCCTGAAGCTTCTCACAGAAACTATGAATAAAAGTAATCAAATGAAAAAATACCAGCTCAATGCACAGTCATAACAATAAGAACTAAAATTTACTACATAAACAAAATAAATACACTCACTTGCTTCGCATAAGTAATTGATGCCAAAGCTAAGTCAGCGATGGCCATTTACCCAAAGTTTCGGAGTAGTAAAACGCAACGTTTCAGACAAGGTGGTAATAGTCTCAGTCCAAGTAGCAGGCGCCTAGCTGGCCTTCTAACAATCCTTCTCCTCATCGATCTGTTCGATTTAGATAATCTTCACCTCTGTACCTTCTTCGGCGTCTTTCGCAGCTATTCGGCGACTCAGTACATAGTAAAGCAGCACCGCCGCCCCCCGCCGCCGTCACCATTGTCCGCGCCGCCAGTGCGTCGAAATCAAAGCATCTGATAGGAGGAGTTAGAGATCGTGAAAGGTTAAAGTGAGGATAAAAATGTAAAATTAACAGAAAACGGTAGATTTGGTGACAGAGAAAGACAGAGAAGGTGTTGATTTCGATCATCATTTAAAGAAACGAAGACGAAGGAAGGAAGCTTGTTTGTTTGTTTCGTTTCGTGCGAGAGTCTTAGCTGTGTCAGGTGCTCAAGATTAAGGTTAAATTACTAAAAAGTCCAGTGGGCATTTACAATTTTTTTTTTTTTTTTTTTGTAATTATATAATTTCTAAATGAACAATACACTCATAAATATTACTCATTTTTTGCATAATATTTTCTAATTATACTAATTTATTAGAAAATAAAATGCATACTTTGATAATAAAGAAAAACTCTAATAAAAACATTATATTAAAAATATGAAAAATTGATGGGTGGTTTGGTTAGTATTTGGATAATTTTGAGGATATATTGGATTGTTGGATAGGGGAGTATTACGAGGTAAATTTAAAAAATTTATGAAAAAGCCCTTAAGTTCACTAATTTAATTAAAGACCCTACTATATATGACAAAAACACCCCACCACCTGTAGTGTCAGATTCCAGCCGACACCGCCGGAATCTAGCCAGAGAAATTTCGTTACGGCACAGACCGATCGGATCTGTGCCGTAACGCATCATTATGGCCTTTTCCGGCCAGATCCGTCTACGGCTTGTTATGGCCGTCGACGGCCGAAAAGGCCAGATCGGTATAATTCTGACCATTTATGGTCAGAATTTGGCCGTTGTACAGATTCCAGCTATCACCGGCGGTGGTTGCCGGAATCGGACAAGTTGGGTTGATGGGGGTTTTTGTTAATTTTTAAAAAAAAAATTCAGGGGGCATTTAGTAAAATTAATAACCTTATAATTGATAGGTTTTAAACCATTATATGAAAAACATAGTGCTGAAACTATTTATTTTACAATTCTTGAAGTTTTGCAAGAATATTTATTAACTGATAGAGTTGTAGCGCTAACGCTTGATAATGCAGCTGCTAACACCGCGACAATCTCTTTATTTGAAAAGAGATTGGATCCGCGTGGTGAAGGCAAATTTTTTCACCAGAGATGTGCTTGTCACATTATCAATTTGATAGTTAAAGCAAGTTTAGATGCTATACATTCAAAGATGGAGAGGGTGCGCAGAGCTATCAGATTTATCGTCGGTGGTAGCAATAAAAGATGGCAGGAGTACATCAAATATTGTAAGCAAGAGGAGCCACCAGTTCAACCTTTGAAGTTATGTACAGACATGCCTATCCGTTGGAATTCTACCTACTTGATGTTGGAAAAAGCTTTGCCAACCGCGAAACAAATTACATATTTCGTCAACCGGAAGAATTCAGAGGAAGTTGTCAGCTATGATGATTAGGCGATTTGTGAACTTTTTTATTCATTTCTTAAAATTTTTTATGATGCTACTAATACATTAAGTGATCTTTATTATCCAACTACTAATTTAGTGTTAGATAGTTTAGTTCAAATTACTAAAACTTTTGCTCAATATAGATATGATAACATTTTAAGTGAAACTGTTTTAAGTATGGAAGAAAAATATAAGAGATATTGGTTAGATATTCAATTCTTATATGGATTAGGCCTTTTTCTAGATCCTAGGTTTAAATTATCTGTAGTTAACGGTGTAATTACTGAGTTAGGCCATCATTTAGGATATGATTATACGTCTTATTTGATTGACTTTAAACACAAATTGGATATGCTTTTTTCTTGATATGAGAACAGGTACAATGGAAGTGGAAGTGGAACGTCTAGGAGAGACGATCAGGACCTTGATGCAGCCCCCCCTCAATGATTGAGCAAGTGGGCATATGTGGAATGTGGCGAAAGCTCCAGCTCGTACAGACATGGACCAAATGAACTGACTCGCTACCTACAAGTGGACCTGGCCCTTATGATAATGAAGGAGCAACTTGACATGGATATTCTTCAATAGTGGAACCAACATGAAAGTCGATTCCCCATTATATCCCAAATGGCACGTGACATTTTATCTGTGCCGGTTTCTATAATTGCATTCAAGTCAACATTTTCAATGAGTGGTCGGATTGTTGAAGACAGAAGATGTTCTTTAACCGATGAGATGATTGAAGTGATAACGTGTTTACGGGATTGGACTCATGCAGAAAGAAGACTACAACAGCACCCTGAAGATCCCGAACTACTCGAACTCTTTAGGAATACAGATTTGAATAATGTAACTAGTGTTGACGATGAAATTGAAGATGAATAATTTAATTAAAAAAAATTATTTAATTGTTTATTTGTGAAGCATGAATGTGTGAAATGTGAATATTACATTTATGTTAAAAATTAAAATTAACTATTAATTTATTATTTTTTCAAATTAATTAAATTTTTAGAAACTTACTAATCAACCCCTAAAAAATACTAAAAACCCCTTATAAAACTTCATTTTGCCCCTAAAATATAAAAAAAAATATCAGGGGGGAAAAAATTATCCAAGCCCATAGGACCGGTCCTGGGCCCATAGGACTAGTCCCGACCAGGCCTAGGGCCTGGTCCGGGTCCTGGTTTTTCTCATGGGCCTGGGACCGATCCTAGGCCCATGAGTGACTGGTCCTATTTGGGACCAATCCCAAATGGGCCCAGGCCTGGGCCCGCAAGGGACCGGTCCCTGCCCACCTCTAGTTTTAAGAAATGAAGCTTTAGGATTGAATTTGGTATGAAAATTTGTATGAATTTGGACTATATCGCCGAAAATCACAGAAAATCCGTTTAGGGTTCAAGAAATCGATTTTTGCCTAATCAGTTTCGATTAAGCGATTTGAATGGGTGGGGCTCATTTTTTAATTTCAAATTTTAAAAAACTTTCACTAATTAATTTTGCCCACATATGTTTGAATCTTTTCATTTAACCCATTTTACATGTTTAATGAATCTTAATTGTGCCACATCAGCTTTTCTAAATTATAAAATAAATCAAAAAAATTAAAAAGATTTTCAAGGCCATTTTGTTAAATGGAAACTTGGGATGTCAGAGGAGTTAAATTTTCTCCAAATAGGATTACCCATATTCATTTTTTGGGCAAGTTTATGTATTTGCTTTTGTTATTGTTTACAAGGTGATAGAGACCATCACAAATCACAGGCACATTTAATTTACCAAAACACCCAAGCCTGTAGCCAAAATATCAACTCACTCCCTGGCTGAGTGGCTCTCCATCTGCGCGGCCACCAGCACTCCATCATCTTTTTCGTCACTTATGACCACAACCACCACCACTATCTACATTGCACTATCTCCCCGCGCGTGTCCATCACGCTCCGCCACTCTTTTTCCACTCACACTCAACACTTCATCCCTCTCTCTGCGTAAAATTATCCTCCGACGCTCTCTGTCAATGTCCCTTAACCACCTCGGGCCGATATCCCCGGTGAACAAACCGGAGCCGATTCAACTCAATGAAGCGTCCGATTTTTACCAGCTCCTCTCTCCCGAGGGTCTCATTTCCATCTGTGGCTTCGGTTCTCTCCTCTCCGGTACCTACAATTATCATCATCATCACCGATTCTTTCTCTCTCTCTTTTTTTTTTTTATTTCCTTCCTTATAACATAAGTGATACGCTGCGTTTTTCCTCCAGAGCACAGTGCGAGGAGTACGTTTCCTGATTTGATCAACTTCAGAGTAGCCAAACTGCACGGATTCCGTCGCGTGTTCGCTCACTCGGCTCCCGTTTTCTTCGAACGTGGCATCGCCAAACCTGAAACCAAGGTCTTAGTTCACTCTTTTGTATTAATTTTCTTTATCGTGCCTTGATTACAATTTGCTTGTTTGGTTGCCGAGAAAATTGATTAAGAATAAAAATAGAAATTTGGTGTAATTAATTCAGGAAATTTCGAGCTTGAGTGTAGAGCCATGTGAAGGAGAGACATTGATTGTTACTGTGTTTGAGATTCAAAAATCAGAGGTATAACTTGTAAATATACATGTGTAAAATTTGTAAATATTTAACAAAAGTTATATTTGAAGTTTTAATCGAATGAATCTGTCACTCTATAATCTCAGGTTCCAGCCTTTATCAAAAGAGAGCACGAGTTCCGGTTTCTAGCTGTAAGTGCTAAGCTGAGTTTATTGTCTGTTTGTTTGTTCAACTTTCATTTAAGAATTTATTCATTCATCCCTTTCCTGTCTTACAGGTTTTTCCGGAAACGCTTGATGGGAAGCCTTTTACAAATCATGCGGTGTGTGAAATTTGATTTCTCTGTTTCTTTCTTTATGTGGTTTGAATGCTTGATCTTATACGGTATACTGGTGGCTCTGGTTTTGAATGAACTGATTGAGGTAAGATTGCAGGTGCTTTGTGCGAGGTCTAGTGATGAGGAGTTTTTTCAAATTAGATGCAAAGGTAGCTTGTTTTCCTTCTCTTTTAATTTGTGAAAATTTGATATATTTTGGGTCTCACATGAGATAGATTTGATATATTTTGGGTCTCACATGAGATAAACTATATTTTCGTAATTGGAGTTGAAGCTCTGTATAAGCAAATATCAAATACCAGTGAGAAGACTGAGAATGAGGATGTTATGTAGTCTTTTGACTAGCCTAAAAAGTGCTAAAGTTTCAACATCCTGAATGCTTCTTTTCATTCATCTTTTTTTCAGGAAGCAAAGAGATTTATTTTCAGCATTATGGTCGATACAACATTGATAAGATTTGGCGGGATGATATCTTACCTTGCCGTGTTTATCTTCGGCATTGGTAGGTGCTATTTCTTGTGACTGCATATTTGTTACATGATAGAGTAGATGAAAAACGCTGATTTTGATACAAGGCAAACCTTTTAAACTTATTATACTGTCATCTACTGCCGACTTATTTTAAGAGAACTTTTTCTAAACTGTTGTGTGCACAGGAAGATGGACATGGCAAATTGTTGCTTTGATGTTTTTCATTGATTTGCAGTAACTTAAGTGGCATATATTGGCAACGATATCTAGTGCTTCCAATTTTTTATTTTTTTTCAGAAACTAATGGTTCATTTCTCCTTGCCCACTTAGCTTCCATATTATTAAACTCAGCCAATCCATAGGTCAAGGAGCCAATCTATGTGAACTATGTTTTCCAATATCCTTGGCAGTGTCTCTGCAAATAACCTTGGACTTGTTGCATACTCTGTAGTGTGTTGGCAGCTAAAAATCTTGGGGATGAAGCATACAACAACTTTGTAGATCACACTTTTCTTGGAGATCGTAAAACAACAATCCGAGAGTACTTGGCAACAACAGGTTCAGGCATCATGGAAGAAGAGCCTCCAGAATCCCTCAAGACCCGTTATGGTGGGTGACTGCAACAGATTGACTGATCTTAATTGCGCAGAGAGGTTTAAAAACTCTTATTTGGGCATGACAATTACCAACCCTAGTTTACTAATGGCCATAGATGGCGATAAATTCAACTAGAAAATTTACTTATTCTCCCTCTATTTCATTATCTTATCCCTCCGGAACTGGCAGGCCCAGGGAGGGTTTATTATTTAACTTTCAATGAAAGTTGTCTTTAATATTCTAAAACTGTAATTTATACCCCATTAACAAGGATACAAGGATGGATGCTTGGTGGACAGTGAAATTATATCCCACATCGATAGTTAGCAAAGTGAAGGGCCAGGTACTTTGGATTATATGTGGAACCAGTGTGAAATCTTAAATCTAACCCAGTCCTGTCAGGGGTGAGGGTCGACTCGTCAATGATCGTTTAGAGACGGCGGGTCGTGCCAACACCTTACAAGGCGAACACAATCATCATTAGGCGAGTAAGTCAAGCCCTACTTTCGGTGCGACTTGCCCGCCAATTTTTGGAAGCCTTGCCCTCGGGTCGGGGCTCACAAAATCCATTTCTTAAATCAAATCGAAAAACCGTTTTATTTTGTTATCTTGCCGTGGTGAAAGGAATATTAATAATATGATAATTTGTAAGTTGTCACACAGTCCTCATTTCTCAAGAACAAACAATATATGACCCATTATTGGGCATGTCTAATATATTTTCTTAGCACTATTTATGCTTGTACAATTCCACAATTGGAGGTTACATCATTTTCAAGTTCCCTAGTTAAAAGTTCCATCATTTTCTTATACATGGGCATGTAATGATCATTAATCATTGTTCTCGAAAGCCGGATTTTACTGTATAGATTTCTAGGTGTCTCGTATATACCTACATGTTCCTCCATGTCCACGGGAACATCACCATCTAAATTTGCAGTAAAAGATGATGAAGGTATAGAGACGATATGCATGATTCTTCCAGGAGGGTAAAAATGATGGTTTTCTATAATATCTGATGAAGATATGGAATTTCGAGTTTCTGCTGAATCAGCAAGAACATTCTCCTCCTCTGTGATTTCTTTTGCTGCGGCTGCTTCTTCCTCCTGGGCTTTCACATCAATTTCATTCTCTTTCCTCTTAAGTTCCTTCTCCAATTCATACCATAACTCGCCTTCAGTAATGCCTTCCACAGTGGATGTAGTAATTACACCATCCACGGTAATTAGCTGCTCATCTTCATCTGAATCATCATGTCCGGATCCACCACTTGAAGTATACTCCACTCCATTCTGCACCACATCACTTGTTACCACCGTACGCACAAGAGCTTCAGAACTTCTTTCAGCTATTAATGGAGCTTCATGTGTATCTTCCACATTGGAGTTTAACAATGGACCCACTGCACGCCGACGTGGACCCATGCAAGACCATGATGACAGAGATGAGCGGGTTCTGACAACAGCTTCAGCAACATTCTTTGCACGATTCATTACAACCTAAAATTTACCAGGCAGACATCAGTCATAATCCAAAATAGAAGCGACCACTGGCAGATAGAAAAAGAGAGATAAAGCTTCATGAATAGTTCTTAAACTGATGCACAATATTTAACCAGAATTAAATTACAGGGCAACAATAGTATCAAACATTTACTGGTCAAAACACATCATCAAAGTTTTAGATTTCATGGATTATGACTAGCTGGGGATGATAATTCAAACCATTGGGCTGAAAAACTCAGTAATTATGAAGTTTGTGACCTATATGTTACCTGAGTACTGTTGGAAACCGGTCGTAGAAGTGCACCTGCACCAACAACCCTGGCTTTGGCACTAGCTATAGATGGTAAACGAGATCCCAAAGCAGTTGCCGAGCGATAAACAACATTTAGGACCCTTGTACGTTCAACTTGATCTCGCAAATCATTTAACCAAGATGATGCTGTGACCTAATGAAAAGTAGTTTAATTAGGATTCTGATTTTCCTTCAAATCATAGGCTTGGAAATTAAACCATGATTATCAAGAGTCAATATCATGTAGAAAGCTTTCTAGTTGGGAGAAACAGATGCAACACCTCGGAGCGAAGATCGTCAACAGAAGCAGCTGAGAAAGTAGGCACCAGATCAGAACCATTGATAAGAGTAGTAATGAAGTGCTTGCCTGATTCTGCCAAATCCCATGTCATACAAGCAGCTGCAAAATGGCAATTAAAGCACTTAGGAGAAGATATCATGCAAAAGTACAGTCAATTTACATAAGTAGGAGAGAAAAAGGGTCTCATAAAGCTCGTTTCATATGAATTTAGAGCAAAACAAACATTAGTGCAAGTTCCAAAAACACAATTGTATCTCTAATTCTATTTCCCCATAATTGTCCAATTTTCTCAGCAAAGGCATGAAGATGTTATTTTGTTAGAGCACAACATGAATGATTATGCTGCCATCATCCAAATCACAAGATCAAAAACAGAAGAAGATCAAGAGAGGCTATCACTGTCACATTTTTCCACAAGAGAATATTTCAAGGCATATAATTTTATAAAGTACTATGCCACGCGATTGCATTTGCAATTCCTCCAACAGCAAAGGACATTGCAGCAGACTAGCTACAACATTTTCAGTCTCTGTTCAAGTTTATCGGTGAATGCACTTCTCACATTACCAGGATATTTGTTGGAGGTAATCTTGGAGAGGGGAAAATTTATCACCCATACCAAATACCACATTAATAAATTAAATGGTCACACATGTAGCAATATCTTAAATGTCAACACATTCAGAATTTACTAATGTAAAGAGAAATCAGTACAAGTGTGCAACTTCTCATAGACTAATGAAGTGATTTTCAGTTTGCAAGTGAAAAGAAACTATTAGACCACAGGAAGCCAGTTCATACCAGATGCAAATGCGAAACAAGTGCAAGATGATAGCTCTTTCTGCTCCCGGAGAATATAAGTTAACAGCGCAGCAGTACCACCACCAAGTGAATGCCCAACAATCTTAATGTGAGAAATGAAACATTAGATACAAGATACAAGAAAATAGATCTTGTAACCAGTGACTCCATACAATCAATAATCACATCATAACAAAACAACATATGCTTCTAAAAGATATATAGAGCAACTACCTTAACTTTGTAGTCAGGATGTTCACCAAGAGCCTTGAGAAGGCAAGGAGTACTAAGTTTCGCAATCCAACGGGCAGCAGCAACCATTCCACAGTGTGCATATCCCAAAACCAAATTGCTTATTCCACCATCCTGTAAAACAGAATGGTGGAAAGGGACCACTGCACCAGTTGCTGCTGTTAGTGTATCTTTGATGCTATGAGTACCACGAATCAATAGAAGGAAACATTTAGAATTTTGGTCGCGTATAATTGTGAAAGCAGGCTTCAGCAGCTGTAGTCATTAAAGTATCACTTAAATTGTTATTTGCAGAACAAAATGACACAAAATTTGCTAAGATAGCTTCAGTACATTGTTTATAGTTGCTGGAAGGATGAAAATGAAAGGTTGCATATTAACCTCCAGGAAAGAAGGTAAATCATATTGCCACATGAACTTGTGACCTCTAATGTAAAATCTACTGCTATATAAAGGCAAAATGTTCCATAACCAATATTTTTAGAAAAATAAATGAGTGAAATAAAAAATTAAGCTCTTTTATATTTACCCAAGCTCAGTCCTATTGCTGTGTTTGGTAATGGCAAATATGAGATTCAGAATAGGAATTGAGTGGACGCAATGACAGTAACTTTCCTTAAAAAGACAACCTTCAAATCCATACAATTCCAGTTCTATAGCTCAACTCCACGCTACCCAACTCAACCTATGAAAGAAGAGTAAATCTGACTAGAGAAATTGACTCGAAACAAAATGAAAATACAGATAGTGACCTACCGCAGCCTTAGGCTTATGTACAAGGACATCTTCTTGAGAGTAACTGGCAGACTCTAAAAACACCGGAAATGGCTTCTTGGAGAAAAGCATGCATAAGGTCAAAAATCTCAACATATTATTCAACTCAGCAATAATTTCGGGGCCTTTGAGTTGTACGCTGTCACTACCAGCATAAACGCTTGCAACTTGTAAATTACCCTGCAATAAAACAAGACTTAATAACATCTCAACAACATACTAACAAAAGCAAACAACAAAACTATTTATCAGTCCATAATACTCTAAAAGTTCTCAAAAATTACAGCAGCAGATAAATAAAACAAGCATGAGCACCAAATTTAAGTAGCTGAAGATGGATGTTCATAAAAAATGGTACTTTCACAGCAAAAGAACAAAACAAACCAATTTAGCACTTCATGAGCCCAAAAGAGCATCTAATCTCTACTGAAAACATATAGATCCCTGAAGTAATGTTCAAACAGTTTTCATTTAAAAATAAAAGCAAACTAACAAAAAATGAGTCATACTAAAAATGAACAAAAGTTAACAAGAAAGGAAAGTCCACTCATTAATAACTAAAATACATATTAAAAAACAAATTAAAAACATTGAAAAATAAAATCACAATAAAAAATACCCTGAAGCTTCTCACAGAAACTATGAATAAAAGTAATCAAATGAAAAAATACCAGCTCAATGCACAGTCATAACAATTAAAGAACTAAAATTTACTACATTAAACATAAAAATACACTCACTTGCTTTCGCATAAGATAATTGATGCCAAAAGCTAAGTCAGCGATGGGCCATTTACCCAAAGTTTCGGAGTAAGTAAAACGCAACGTTTCAGACAAGGTGGTAATAGTCTCAGTCCAAGTAGCAGGCGCCTGAGCTGGCCTTCTAACAATCCTTCTCCTCATCGATCTGTTCGATTTAGATAAATCTTCACCTCTGTTACCTTCTTCGGCGTCTTTCGCAGCTATTCGGCGACTCAGTACATAGTAAAGCAGCACCGCCGCCCCCGCCGCCGTCACCATTGTCCCGGCCGCCATGGCGTCGAAATCAAAGCATCTGATAGGAGGAGTTAGAGAGATCGTGAAAGGTTAAAGTGAGGATAAAAATGTAAAATTAACAGAAAACAGGTAGATTTGGGTGACAGAGAAAGACAGAGAAGGTGTTGATTTCGATCATCATTTAAAGAATACGAAGACGAAGGAAGGAAGCTGTTTTGTTTGTTTCGTTTCGTGCCAGAGTCTAGATGTGTCAGGTGCTCAAGATTAAGGGTTAAATTACTAAAAAGTCCAGTGGACATTTACATTTTTTTTTTTAATTAATAAATTTCTAATTGAGACAATACACTCATAAATTACTCTTTGCATAATAATTTTCTAATTATA